AGTTATGAGGTAGGCATATTTTGAGTCAGTGTAATTGGTGACTCGTTGTCCCTTCGACAGGTGTAATGCCCTGGTGAGAGCTACGAGTTCAGCCTTCTGGGAAGTGGTTCCGATTGGGAGGGGAACCGTCTCTAATACCGCATCCATGGTGACCACAGCGTAAGCAGAGTGTCTTTGGCCATCTGAGGCCAGGAGGGAACTATGAAGAGTACGTGGTCAGGGTTGGATAGCAGTTGATCAGAGAGACCGGGATGGAGAGAATGAGGTCCTCTATAAGTTGTAGGCAGGAATGAACGGGTTCCGGGGTGGGCGAGGGTATAGGCAGTAAAGTTGCGGGGTTTAAGCAGAGGGAGGTAGAGAGAGAGATGTGAGGGTTTCTAGGAATAGCAGATGGAATAGCTGGAGTAGCTGGAGACGAGAAGGAGTCAGATGGTCCAGGGATCGGTGGCTAAGGAGGTCTGTGAGTCGGTGGGGAGAGTAGACCGTGATGGGCTGCCCTAAGGCCAGTTTGAGGGGCTCCTTTGTAAGAGAAGGGGCTGCCACTAGGGCCCTGAGGCAGGGCTGCCATCCCTGGGCGGTGACATCCAGTTGCTTGGACAGGTAGGCTATAGCCCTATGCATAGGCCCCACCAGTTGTGTTAGGAGGCCGGTGGCCAAGCCAGAGCGCTCATCAGTGTAGAGATGGAATGGTTTAGAGAGATCGGGTAGGGCTAAGACTGGCCCGGTGGTAAGGCGGTCCCTTAGTTTAGAGAATGAGTGGTGGATCGAAGTGGGATCAGTTAGGGGACCCTGGGGGGTGTCTTTAGCCGCCTGGTACAGAGGACGGGCCAGGATAGAGAAATTTGGAATCCAATGTCTGAAGAACCCAACCAATCCAAGAAAAGAGAGTATTTCATCTGCTGTTTGGGGAGGTTGGAGTTCTTGGAGGAGTCGTATGTGGTCCCCGGTAAGAGACTTATAAGTGGGAGTCAGAAGTATGCCCAGATAGGTAACTGAAGGGACACACAATTGGGACTTAGAGGGGGTGACTCGATATCCCTTGGCCCCCAGGAAGTTAAGTAGGGCGGAGGTGTCGTCCTGGGAGACCGAGAGGGAGGGGCTACAGAGGAGGAGGTCATCCACATATTGTAGTAGAGTACTGGCCTTAAGGACGCACTGCTGTAAGTCTGTAGTTAAGACCTGGCCGAAAATGTGGGGGCTGTCCCTGAACCCGTGGGGTAGGACAGTCCAAGTTAGTTGTCCAGAAGCGTGCGTGTCGGGATCCTCCCAGGTGAAGGCAAAAAGAAAATAGGAATCAGGGTGCAAGGGGATGGTGAAAAAGGTGTCCTTTAGGTCCAGTACTGTAAAATGAGAGGTGTTTGGGGGAACGCGAGACAATAGGGTGTAGGGGTTAGGAATGACTGGATGGAGGGGGACCACAGCCTCGTTGATAAGCCTAAGGTCTTGTACCAGTTGATAAGCCCCTGAGGGCTTGCGTACTGGGAGGATAGGGGTGTTACAGGGGGAACTGATGGGGATCAGGAGTCCCTGACATTTAAGCCGTTCTATGATAGGTTTCAGGCCCCAGTGGTGGGCTAAGGAAATAGGAAACTGAGCTCGAGAGGGAAACTTGGAGTTATCCTTAAGCTGTACTTTAACCGGGGTAAGGTGGGAAGCGATGATGGGATCCAAGGTGTCCCACACCCGAGGATCTACAGTGGGTAGGTCATCTGGAGTGGGGGTCGAGAGAGTGGAAAGGTGTAGGATGAGACGGGTTGAGGTGGAGGGAGGGGAGAAAGGGGAGAGGCAGATAGTTGCCCTCAGTTTCTGGAGAATGTCCCTCCCCAGTAGAGGGAGCGGACAGGAAGGAATCACTAGGAATGAGTGGGAGAAGGGGAACCCATCCAGGATACAGGTAAGGGGAAGGGTCACCCTAGGATTGGAGGAGGTCCCATCGATCCCCATAACAGTAATTGGTGAGGTTTGAGTAAGTCCCAAATAGGAAGGCAGAACAGAGTAGGTAGCCCCCGTGTCCAGCAGAAAGGAGATGGACTTACCTGCTACCTGGAGTGTAACCCTGGGCTCGGCCTGGGTGAGAGGGGTGGCCGAGTCTGGGCTTTGTCAGTTGTCCTCCAATCCAAGCAGTTGAAAGGCCGGACTTACTGTCTCGGGGGGTCCCCAACGTTGAGGCGCCAAAGATACCCCAAGGTTAGGGCAGTCAGATTTCCAGTGGCCCATCAAATGGCGTTGAGGGCAAGGCTGAGTTGGCAGCTTTGGATTGGGGCACTGGCGAGCCCAATGTCCCTCGGCCCCGCATTTGAAACAGGCCCCCAGGGGGGTGCGATGGGTTGCCCCTCTCTGTTGGCTCCCGGAGCCGGCCGGCCGCAGAGCAGCTACCAAGGCTTGGGTCTGCAACTGAACCTTTTGCTGGAGTCTGGCTTGTCGTTTAAGCTCAGCCGCCTCCTCACGGGAATTAAAGACCTTAAATGCCATTTTCACCAAGTCAGAAATGGGGGTCTGAGGGCCCTCCTCAGCCTTTTTTAACTTTCTCCATATATCCGGCGCCGATTGAGAGATAAAACGAGTAGCCAGTACCGTGGCCCCTGCAGGAGAGGCGGGGTCCAAGCGAGTGTACTGGGTTAAAGCCTCAGTCAATCGGTTAAGAAACATGGCGGGGTTTTCGTCAGGGGCCTGGACAATCTCCCTAATCTTGTAATTAACGGCCTTATTAGAGGCTGCCCGCATGCCGGCTATGAGACATTGGACCATGTGGTCGCAGCGCCGGCGGCCATCTTGGCCATTCTGATAATCCCAACCTGGTTCTACAGCTGGGACCACCTGGGCTCCAACTGGCATGGCAGCATCAGTGAGATGGACCTGATCTGCGTGCTCCCGGGCAGCAGCCTGGATGCATTCCCTCTCCTCTGTGGTGAGGGTGGTGGTCTGGACCACATGTAAATCATGCCAGGTGAGGTCATATGCTTTGGCCAGATATTGGAATTCTTTGATACAGTTATCAGGATTGGCCGAAAAGGAGCCCAAATGTTTCTCAATTTGGGAAAGGTCTTGTAGAGAGAAGGGCACATGAACTCGAACAATTCCAACTCCAGCAACCTCCCTTAGGGGGGCAGACTAAATCAGGGGAGGGTTTTCGAGCCCTAGTGCGGGTGGAGATGGGAGGGGAGGCTGGAGGGGACGTGAGGGGAGGTTGGGAGGGGGCTGCATCAGGAGCGAACTCAGGTTTTGGGGGTTGAGGGGATGAGATGGGGTCGGGGTGGAAGAGACCGAAATGGGGGTGGTTGAAGCAGGGGGGTTAGGGGGCGTAGGGAGAGAGGGACCTTGGGGTAGGGGATAGCGGTAAGGAGGAGGAGGAGGAAGAACCGGGGGCCCTCTTGTCGGTGGGTGGGTGAAGCTCTCTGGAGGTTCAGAGAGGGGAGACAGGGAGGAGAGGTCCAGGTCTTTGGGAGCAGTGGGTGGCAGGGGAGGGGGAGGGGTAGAGGTAGACGAGGGTGCCGGTTCAGAAATCCTGAACATAAGGGACCTTGGCCCATCTGCCTTGGTGTCTGCTGGGGTTATTTAGGTCCATGAGAATCCGATAATTAAACGTGCCTTCCGGAGTCCATTGGGACTGATTTAAGATTGGCCAACAGGCCTAAAACACCCCCGGGATGTTTTAGGGTCGAATTTGGATTGGGAGGTCCCCACGATTTGTTGCCGGGCAACCCGAGGGCTGGAGGAAGGCGTCCCCTCGTCCACCACTGGGTTGCGGAAAAACTGTGTCGACTGCCGTAGAGGTTAGGATGTCTCCCAGCCTCTCAGAGTCACGGAGGTCACCTGGTGACCGGCGGGGTCCACCCTGATGCGGCCGCAATTAGGGCAGGGCTTTCCGGAAGGAGGCGCGGAATCGGGGGAAACTCACCATGGCTTCAGAAGTGGCGTTCGGAAAGGCGGGTCCGGGTCTGGCTAGGGAAAGGAGAGAGCCTCCCCACTGGAGTGGGGGCTCAATCTCCTTCCCAGGTTTCGGCACCAAATGTAAAGTTTTCTCTGGCGAGATAAACACAACACCAGGCAAAGTGGGTGCAAGGCAAGATGTATTAAAGGCACTCTCCGGTGAAGTTTCAGGGCTCAGGAGAAGGGGAGCTAGGAAAGTTGCACCGGAAGGAGGTGGGCACCCTTGGGCGAGGTTCCGCGACTCTGGAAAGCAGAGAGGCGGAAGTCGCGCCCAAGGCAGGGAGAAGGGGGATTTTAAGGGGTCTCGAGGGGAGTTCAGGGGTCTTTTGGCAAGTTTCCTTCATTTGGATATTTCGCCTGCTCGTCGGGGTCCCATTGGTCCACTGGAGCCCGGGGCGGGGGTCTCAGATTCCTGCTTGGGCCTTTGTTCTCCTGTCTGAGCTCAGGTCTTGTGGCGGGAACTTTCGCCATCTTTAGCCCTTTCTGCCAGCCCAACATCTACTAGGGTAAATTGTAATTCAGTTGGTCACCCAGCATCACTGTGGAGTTTCCTGTGTGCGTTACAATCTCATTGGCCACCTGTGCATGGCCAGGCCTGACCACATGGCCTTTGCCCTTAAAAGCTAGTCTGTGAAACAGAGAAGGGTCGCCCTCTCTTGTAAGAGGTGCAGCCCCGAACGTTCGGTTAGATTCTTGATGCTTGGCACGAAATAAAGCTTTGCTTGACCTTCGCTTTGTATCAGTCTTGCTCCTTTAATCACGGACCCATTATTGGGGCATAACAACAAACATCCTCCCTTCAAAGGATTCTCAGTAGCATGCTGCTTTACCTACTTCATATCCAATATTTTATATGGATTTCCCCCTTGCTTCCCCTATCTACATAATACTACAACATTCATGATCAAAATGCAGTTTCATTTTACCAACTATGACAGATTTTCCAGGGAATCTGTTCTGTGGAGGAAAGGGTAAATGGAGTTTGTGATAAATGAAGAAATAAGGACCAGAGTGATGCATATTTGTGAATTTCTCATACACTTATCAGGTATGGGTTCTCTTTGTTGCAGATTTCTCCATTGTGGTTGGGGTGCTGTTTCCTATGGCTGTCATATCGGTGGTGGTTGCTATAGTAATCTGGCACCAAAGTACCAGAAGAAAGCAGAAGGAAGTCCAGAGGTAGCCTTCTATCTTGCTTTGGGAACTTTTTGACCTCTAATTTATTTAAATTCAAGGATAGGGCCCAAATTCTCAAATTTAAGTGGTTTACTTCAAATACTCAAAAATAAGTACAGATATATTTCTCTTGGACCAGAGGCTGGGTATCAGTTTTACTGAGAAATCCTTCACAGCAATACATGTATTGTTTTTATGTTAATCACTGTATTTATAAATAATAAAAATTATAAACGCTCAATAAAGGTTTTATACCCATTATAAGAATACACTATGTAGCATTTATTGGTCACTATCCTTATGACAAGGGCTATGCTGAGTTTTTTTACCTTCATTATCTCTAATCTTCACAAGAATGTTGTGAGGTAGTAACTATTATTTCCATTTTATACATTTATTATTAATAAATGTATATTTATTAATTGTATATTAATCCTTAGAACAGTCTTATAAAATCAAGCACTTCACACTTTTTCTTAAGTGAAAACAAAGGCTCAGAGAGGTTAACAAATATGTTCCAAGTCTTATACCTAAGCTGATGGAATCTTGATTTGCACCTACATTTGTTAGTCTTTTCAAACATGGTCTTGACACTATAGTATCTTTCTAACCATTTATAAAGACTGCCTTATTCATATATAATGAGTTTCCTCAATATTGAATGAATAAAATAAATCATTAATTAAATGACATAATAGTTTAGATAAACACTGATTTAACACCATCATTATTAGGAATAATAATAATAATAATAATAATAATGCTCTGTAGAGAATCTAGAAGAAAATTAGTGGTGGTGATTATGAATTCCAGGACAAGGAGGCCTTAAGAATGTCCTAGAGAGCAGAAGAAAGCCCAGTCAATGTCCAAAGATGACTCAATGGGCAAAGAAAATTGGCAAACTTCTTTTGAGTGTCCTCACCATGGTGATGAAACTGTTAAGTCCATTTAAATGGAATGCTTTCACACACAGGCCACTGTCTACTACTCACAACAGGCCTCGCAGACAGAAGAGGAACCCACAGACGGAGAAGGATGTTCAGCCCCAAGAGGTGAACCATAGTTTGTCGTGTGCTTGCCTCGTGCACCAGTTTGTGATTCTTTCATCATCTTGCCCTGATCACCTACCTATCTGTCATTCCTACTCAGCAGTGTTTTACAAATCCAGTCCGCTAGTTAGTATGTAGCAAGAATTTGGGGCTCTCTAACTACACATTTGGAAAATTCTCCTTTGCCTTTTTTTTTTAAGTGAAAAAGAGTCTTCCTAAAATTCAGAGGCTGCTTTGTTGAGGTTCACAAATGCAGAGAAAATAAAGAGAACAGGAGAGCAGACTCCAGATGTCTTTCTTTCTCTTTTTTTCTCTCTCTCCCTCCCCAGCCCCTCCACCATCTCTTTCCCCCTCTCTGTCCCCCTCCCTCCCTCCTGTCTCTTCTCTGTCCTCTCTCTCTTTCTGACTCTAAGTGGATTTCTTTTTCCTTTTGCAAATGTCCCAATAAAGATAATAATGTGTTTATTTGTATGACAAAACATTTGATATGTATAATCCTCAAGGCCCTGGCTATGTCCTGGAAGTTTAGAAATTTTAGCAGAGGTTGGTTATTGGTAATGTCATTGGCAATGGCAATGATATTTTTGATGGAAATGTACCTGTCTCTGACAGCTCTGGATATAGCAGAATGCAAGAGCTGGACCACTATGATTTCCCATCCCATCTCTTGGTATGATCTCAGTTCTGATCTCCCATGTCTTGAAAGGACTGGTTATTTGGAAGTTAAACTTAGGGAACTTATCATTTTGTTTAAAAGTTTTGTCTGTCTGTCTGTCTGTCTGTTTGTTTGTTTGTTTATTAGATGAGTCAGATGAAGCTCCATGCACCTGATCTGCCAGTAGAGGGCAATGAGCCTCCAGCTTCTTTTGTGAGTTAACACTTTCTCTTAAGTATTCCTTCCAATTAGAAGGTCAGAGTTAAAAAAAAACAAAAAAAAAGTATCACTTCCAAACTCATCTCAAGGAAATACTATTAAGAGACATGACCCATGATGCCCAATTATTTCCTTAAAAGAATGTTAAAATTTTTGTGAGTATTAATATAAAATATAGATTTTCCCACAAAACTTTTTGAAATGCAAAATGTGAGAAGGTTATATTCCTATGTTTAACCCCTTAATCTGAATTACTGGGTCTGCAATGCTGGTAACTTTTTTTTTTTTTTGCTATTTTATTTTTTTTTATAATTTTTTTATTTTTTTATAAACATATAATGTATTATTAGCCCCAGGGGTACAGGTCTGTGAATTGCCAGGTTTACACACTTCACAGCTCTTGCCATAGCACATACCCTCCCCAGTGTGCTGGTAACTCGTTATAAGAAGAGAACCAATCTGCTCCCTAGAGTGGCATCTTCATCATCCATCTGTTGGCACTGGCTTATTTCTGAATGGCCTTACTTCTTGAATTTCTGGAAAAAATATATATATATATATATATATATATATATATATATATACACCTAAATGAAAACACTTGAACTTACCGATTTAAACTATTTTCATGGGTAGGAGCATGAGTTTTCCCTTTCTGAAAATGATTTAAACCTTTCCATTAAGCACATCTATTTTTAAGGCCCCATCTTTGAATTAACTTTATTTTACCTTTTCATTAGCTAATTACAAAGCCAGATTTTCCACCACCACCGATTCCTACATCTGTGTCAACCTCTTTCCTTGTAAGTACCAGGAAATCACTGATGATTTTTTTAATGTCTTTTGGGCCCCATGTCGGTAGTGTCTCTAAATCTACAGATTCTTTCTCAGGAGACACACTCTCTAGGTCAACCTGAACCACTGTAGCACACAAGTATATCTGAGAAAGCAAGGCCTACCTTCTATCTATAAATTAGTATGAATATTAGTTTTTTATTATTAAAAATAGTTCTACCATTATCTCATCATCAAAAAATGATAAATAGTTTTGCTCTAGGAAGTAAACAGTCTCCTTTCTAGAGACTTACTTTGGAGAATATAAAATTTTATTATTATATTCTCCAAAATAAGTCTCTAGAAAGGAGACTTTATTATATAAGGCCTATATTAGCTACAGTTTTGTGTAGAAGTTGGGGTAAAAAAACAGACCATATGTAGGCAAACCTGGAATAAAAGTTAGGAACTTAAGAAGTAAAAGGTAAAATTCATTCACTCAAGTAATTACTGAACATGTTCCTACTTGGTACTCTGTTGTTGATAAATGAGAAAGAACTAAAATTAAAGTCATTTTTTCAAGAATGTTTACATTTTTAGGGTGAAAACAAGTCATATGTGTATAGAGCGCTTAATCTTTCACATATTTTTTTGTGCCAAAGCAAGTGATAACTAATAAAAAGAATGTGGTAAAGGGGAAAATGAATGGACTCATAGTAATTAAAGTAAGAGAAAGATCCACTGGCTAAGTGGTCGAAATTGGAACTAGAGTGATGGGGAGGTAAGAGATGACTTAAATAAGGAAATAAATATGCCTAGGATTGGGAAAGAATAACATTTCTAATGACTTACTATTATTTTTGTCTCTCATATAGCATAATGCCACGAAGGTACTTCCCTCTACTGTTTTTAAAGACAAAATAATGTCAACACCTAAGGTAAGAGATCCACAGGAAAATGTAATCTTGTCACACTCCTACTGTCAAGGAGAGAAGTTCTAATTGTGTCTTCCTAGAAGATGTTCACTAAGAAGAGTATCTATATGATCATAGGATGGGAGCTAAGACATGTCTACCTTCCTAGTGTGGTCAAAACCAAGAGGAAGAAGACGGAAAGGTTTTAGCTAGATAGAGGACATGTTCCATTGGATGATCGCCCAGTGTCTCACCACTCTTCTCTTGATCCCTCACCTTCTCCATATTACATCCATTAGTCAGATGGATATTTGGATCTTAATGCGATTTTTCTCCCGTTCTTTCTCTGCCTTCCCATGTTTGCACTCCTTCACTGTGGTATATCCAATGATTTGTAAAATAGGAAGTGCGACTACAAAGAATTCATTTTAATTTCCTAATAGTTCCAAGTTATAGAATATCTAACTTTTTAGAATTACGTAGATGGCTAAAGAACTTTGTCTTTTTCAGGGTTCCAATCCAAATGTCTGAAGCAGCAGCTAAGCAAGGATGGGTGGGGTAATGATCAACCTGGAAGACTGGATAATCCGGGTGGAAGAGAAAGATACTTTCTCCTTATTATTAGCTCTTGATTACTCAAGGATGTTAACATTTCTTGATATATGTTGTGCTTTGAGGCGACTCAACAAAAATTTTCAAGAGAGAATCTGCATGAATTCACCATTTCTATCTTCCATACTCATGGGAGAGGAGAGGACTCTAAACAAACAGCTGTACATCTAAAATCTTTAATTAGGTGCCTTTCTTAACCACTCCCCCTTTTCTTATTGTGATGTTGACTAATATTTCTTCAGGTATTTTGAACATCTTGATTTTCTCATTTAGTAAGAAATAATTTACTCTCTAATTAAAGCAAGCAAATGAAAAAGTCCCCAGGAAATCACAGGAAACTGGGAGGGATGGAAGAAAATTTTACGTTCATCATTAGATGACTAGCAGCATCTTGACTGTTTTAACCATAAACCTGTCAAATTAGAACTGTAAGAACAAAATTATATAAATAACCTCTGATTTAGGAGCGCCTGGGTGGCTCAGTGGGTTAAAGCCTCTGCCTTCGGCTGAGGTCATGCTCCCAGGTCCCTGCCGAGCAGAGAGCCCGCTTCGCTTCCTCTCTCTCTTCCTGCCTCTCTGCCTACTTGTAACCTCTGTCTATCAGATAAATAAATAAAATCTTTTAAATTAAAAAAAAAACCTCTGATTTAAATAACATCTTTTTCCTACATTATCTTTTGCAATCTTTATTAGCTGAGTCATTTGAAGTTTGCTACAAGTGAATAAAACTTATTAATTAAAATTTTTACACAGAAATTTGTATAATTGAGTTACTGGCAAGCTTAAAGCAAACTTCACTTTCTAAGTAGAGAAAGTTCTAATTACATAAATTGATAACATAAACCAGATGTTGACAACTGGTAGCTTGCAGGACATATCTGGACTACAGATTGATTTTATTTGGCCGGGGTGATTTTGGTCATAAAGTATTTTTAAATGTTTTGACTTTAAATGTTTGTTGATTGCCAATATTTAAAAATTGGGAGATCTTGCATAAACATCCAGATTTCCAGCTTTGTAAAAGTAATCAAATGATCTGGCAGCCCTGGACTCACATCGCCCATAGCAACCATTAGCTTAGTTGAATGATGTCGGAATAAACATTGTTGGTTGCCTTCCAAATAACCTTCTTCCTCCTTGTTTTCAGAACCCCAGTTTTATTCAGTTGTAGATATTTTAGAAAAGGCGATCCTGATTCCATCTCCAGGATAAATCTCTATCATTTTAAGTCAATCGTAATAATCTTATTTTCCTTACTACCCCCAACCCCACCTTTCTTCTTTCTTTCTTCCTTCCTTCTTTCCCTTCTTTCCTTTTTTTTTTTTTTTTTTTTTTGCCAATGAGACAAGAGAAGAGATATGTTGAGAAATTTTCACAAAAGATATCCTGCCCCTTCTTCTGGATGTTGGGATCTGAATAGCCTCTCTGGTAGTGTTGCAACTATGTTGTGATTATGAGGTCAAGGCTGATATACTGAATAAAATAGATCAAAGAGATAAAAAGAATAAAACCTGATCTCTTAATGATGTCATTGAATTGATAGATTAATAACTGTGGGAGTTACCCTAAACTTTGCTGGGATTTCCTATTATTTGGTCAATAAAATTTCCTTATTGTTCAAGCCATTTCAAGTTGGATTTTCTTATTTGCTACAGAAATCATCTCAACTAATAAAGTTGCTGCTTCCATGATTAGGGCACGTGATTTCCTTGTGTGCAATTATAGGGCCACTTCATCAGCACCATGATTTCCGTTTTTTTTGTTTGTTTGTTTTTTGTTTTTTGTTTTTTTTTTTTGAAAGAGAGAGAGAGAGCACAGGCAGAGGCAGAGGGAGAAGCAGGCTCCCCACAGAACAAGGAGCCCGATGTGGGACTCGATCCCAGGACGCTGGGATCATGACCTGAGCCGAAGGCAGCTGCTTAACCAACTGAGCCACCCAGGCGTCCCCCGTTTGTTTTTTATACTTGGCCTGCTTTACCCGTTTACACCATGGACCTGGCCCACACCCCTTCCTTTCCTTGGGGAAACTTTTTTTTTTTTTAGATTTTATTTATTTATTTGACAAACAGAGATCACAAGTAGGCAGAGAGGCAGGCAGAGAGAGGAAGGGAAACAGGCTCCCTGCTGAACAGAGAGCCTGATCCGGGACTCGATCCCAGGACTCTGGGATCATGACCTGAGCTGAAGGCAGAGGGTTTAACTCACTGAGCCACCTAGGCACCCCTCCTTGGGGAAACTTTATCCACAAGGAGTTCTTTTCCCCTTGCAGTGTGAATTTCTGTATAAGCTCAATCCCCAGCACACCCAGGGTCCGTCTGCCAAATCTCTCCTGTTATAGCAGTCTTTCTTTCCATGTGGGAGTTTACTCAAGAACACATTAAAAACTCTAGCTTTATCTATGAGGTTAGGTTTTGGATAACCTTGCACTAACCCAGAAATAAATCCCTATTTCCCATGAGGCCATGATTTTTCTTATGACAAACCTATAGATCTTTCCTATGTTGTCTTCCTCCTTTGTTTCATGGTTTTTGTTTTAATTCCTGTCCCTGTCTCATTTTTAATATTGGTAAAATGGAAATCTTAAACCTATGAATCTTCAACTAGCCACATGACCCGAGCTAGAAATAAAACATAGGCTATTAAGAAGAACATTTCTGTAAATTTTGAAATGATGGCACTAGGTGTCTGATGTGGAGGCTACACAGCTCCTTATAAGGACAGACAACTGGAGGACAATGATGGGGAAATGATTCTCTTATCCTAAGACTTTGAACCCAAACCCTACAGAGTTTTCTACTGAGTTGAACTGTAGAACAATTTAGACAATTTAAAGCAAAGACTTTGATTTCACAGTCCTGTTTCCAAATTAGATCCACCACTTACCCACTTTGTAGGAATTCCACAATATGATACTTAACTACCTCAGATATGCCACCAAGCCTGCTCTTAAAATTAGTTATTTTTACTTTCTCTGCTTTAGAATAATAGATTAACTTATGGTCTTATTCAGGTACTCTATGAGTGGTAAGCCATACGATTTCTGTACATACTCCTTAACACCTCACCAAGTTACTGCTTTTTATGATATTTGAAAATGCTTTTAACTTTGCATGAAATGACAAAGTTGTGTGAAGTCTGACTGGAAAAGAAAGCAAGTTTTAGCTGTAATCAGAAATTGTGGAAAGGGTGGGGCTATATGATTTACATGAGTAATAATGACACCAATATGGTAAGGAATCGAGGGTGGCCTCTGGGTGACGGCCGCAGAGACCTGAGCCTCTCAGCCCGACAATACTCAAGGGACTATTTCTGCCAACAACCACTGAATGACCTGGGAAGCAGCTTCCAACCCACTTGGGCTTTGATTGCTACTTCATGAGAGAAACTGAAGCAGAAGACTCAGCTAAGATTTGCCCAGATTCTACAAAAACAGAGAAACTATGAGAAACTAAATATATGTTCTTTTAAGCTGCTATGGTTTGGGGAAATTTGTTATGCAGCAATAGATAACCGCTACAAAGGAGTAGAGTTCAAATGTTTTGAATATTCCAGATAGGTTTAGGTAGTATTAACCACTATCTTTAACAGGAATTCCATCATTTCAAAACCTTTTTCCTTTTTCTCTCTTTATATTCTTTCTGTATCCTTTCTTTTTTTAAAAGTATCAGTTATCTGCTTGAGATTTCTGATATCCAGTCTTCTCATATATCATGTTTTCTCTCACATCCATTTGCCTGTTTCCTTGGTCTTTTTGAAGAATTCCTGAAGTGTATCTTTTAGACTTATTTTATCTTTTATACTTCAAATGCTCCTTTTTGCTAATTTTAAGGAATTTTATAATTATTCCTCATATTTGCTTAATAAGAATCTCTTCTCTCTTATCTCACTTCTGTTTTATAAAGGCCAGCTAATGAGCTATTTTTGCCTTTTGTTTCCAGAATTTTACTTTTAAAATTCAATTAGCAAAGCAACTTCTGTCTAAACTTCACCAGTGCTTCTCAAAGTAACTATTTTTCAAAAGTGCATCCTTCCTCAGCCGCTTGAACATTATGCTTCCCATTTTTCACAGACACAATTATTTTCATAGGTGATGCGTTGCTATTTTCTAGTTAACTCACCCTTGTGTTTTAAAAGTTGTATCCTGGGGCATCTGGGTGGCTCCGTGGGTTGAGCCTCTGCCTTCAGCTCAGGTCATGATCTCAGGGTCCTGGGATCAAGTCCCACATCAGACTTTCTGCTCAATGGGGAACCTGCTTATCACCCCCCACCTGTCTCTCTGCCTACTTGTGATCTCTCTCTATCAAATAAGTAAATAAAATCTTTAAAAAAAGTTGTATACTGACCTGTGATATTCTTACATTTTATATCTTTGATGAAAGAATCTATCTCTTCAGCTAAAGAGCTTCAGTACAACTAGCATTCTGAGTGTAATTTGCAAATAGCTTGTGCCATGGGTAAACCTTGCATATTCTTCTCTGCCCAAGATTCTCTTTTCTTTTAAGCTAAAACTGTCTACCAAGGCCACATCAGGAGTGGAACACCTTGTTGGTGATACTGAGATCTACCTCATCAGAGCTTCCTGATTCATTATGCGAAGGCCTCCACCAGCAAAACCTGCAACCGTCTTGGCATATCTGCTCTTGAATTTGCCTTGTCTTTTCTGCTGCTTCCAGAAAAAGATCTTCCCTTGCCAATGACAACTTTAGACACTGCTTAGCAACTAGCCCCAGGCCGTCTGCTTTGCGGCTCATCAGTAGTAAAATATTACTATTATTATCATGCTAAGTAAGTAAGACTGTAATAGGAGCTAAATCCCCAAGCAGAAGAAAATTATGGTATGTTATTTATTGTGAAGGCATCTTCTTGATGAAATTTAACTCTTTTCTTTCTCATACCTAATGTTGAAATCCAAACTTTTT